TGAAGAATTTTTCCCAACAACAGCAAAATACAAAGGAGGACAATTTGTTTCATTATATCCTATCGAAAGAGAAAAATGCAACTTATTTTTCAGTTCAGCAGATCGATAGATACAACTTTTAGAAGTACAGAAATAAAGTTCTGATAAAATTTGTTCACCTTTACAAAGGTTGTAGAATTGTAGAGTCCTCGAGTTTCCTGGCAACGAAAGCATAAATTTGGTGAATACAAAATGAATATATTTTGCATTTAGGAGGTGAGAAAAAGAGAAATCCATAATTATCGGTATGCATAGCAAAGTATAGCAAGGAATGCGACTACCTTGGATAATGGTGTTTGATCTCTTCTTCCTGGAAATTGATGCATCAGCATCAGAAACTGGAATATGAAAGTTATGGCAAATGGTTGGAAACAAAACGTTCACCTATAATAAGGCTTTGCACCATCACGTGATTGCAGCTATGACAGGAGGCACAACAACGTCTTTCTTGTCTTCTTGGGAAATAGAATTCTTTCTCATGTAAATCAGATTAGACCAGATTCAATTGTTCCTGCCTCCTGTCATGGCTGCCATTATGCGATTGTGAGAAGCACAGTTAACATAACACATCATGTCCAACATCGACTTGAAGCTATTAGTGTTTTTGGACTTTGGAAAAGGTCTATAGACCCCTTGCATTTGACGTTAAAAGCAGCTCCATCTAGGGGACAAAACAAAATAAGAATTCCAATCTCCTGAGAATTGAAACCTATTGTCTTTGTCCCCCAGATTGAGCTGCGTTACAAAGTGCTGCAAGGGGTATATAGACCTTATAGACCCCTTGCACTTAAACCCGAGAGGAATTGCTCTGTGGGAAAAAACAAAGCATTTTTTTTTTTGCATAAGAAAAAAATGGCCTATTGTTTTGTCCCCCAGAACAATTCCTCTAAGTGATCAATGCAAGGAGTCTATTAAATGAAGGAGAGTATAAGAATGGAGTGTTGAGAGCAGTTAAGACAGTACCTTCGATCTTGAAGTCATAGTTGTCAGGTCCTGGGGATTGGTTGGTACGTGAGAGGTACAAATATACTGATCCATACTTTGGCTTTACCTGGGATGAAATGAGATGGACTGAGGGGAAAACGTCATTTCCGGTCACGTGTTATTTGTATCAGCCGAATGGCAAAATTTGGATAATTGATTAACCATATGGGCCAGTGTTTGTCATGTTATTTAGGCTGGAATGAGATTCATGAGATTCATTCAGCTGATTGATACCAAGCAATAGAATACTCTCTGGTT